ATTCAGAAATAAGATTTTCTTTTTGCAAAATATTATATAGTATATTTTTAAATATCTGTCTGTCTGTCTATCTATCTATCTATCTATCTATCTATCTATCTATCTATCAAACTTTTGAATGATAGTGTATGTCCTACATTCATATGTATCATATAAACATTACCACAGCAAAGCAATAAAACATTATTCTTTGTAGACATTTTTTTCAATGTTAATCTGAATACCATGTTGAAGTGATGCGCTTGCACCCAAAAAACAGAGGCAATGCACAACATTCACATTACAAGCAAATTATTCTACCAATATGTATCAATTATTCAGTTAGGCACTGTGTAATGTATACTCGGACAGACAGATTAAGACTGTTGCTCGACTGTGCAAACAAAAAAAAAAAACGCATTGTAGCTCGATTACATTGAGAGCATTCAATTTAATGTATGTTACGAGTCAATTCTGGATACACCTGAGTGAATACGTATTTATTTTGATCTTAAATGACTTCAGACCTAAAGGCTTAGGTTCACATGTTTGAAATTAGTTTTGCAGACAAATATAAGTCTAAAATAAATTTCCTCACAAAACCAATATTATTAATTAAAATAATAAATTTATTATAAATTTATAATAATGAAATGGATTTTTGGACCATTGAAGGCAAAGCAGCAAACAAGTGCCCATGCAGCATATAGAGGAACTATGAAGAGAAAGTAGCTAACAAGTGCCCATCCATATACGGTCCAAAAATTTTTATTTTTGGACCGTATAGTGAAGAGGAAACATTTTTTTTTTTAAATCACTTAAACTCGTACTCAAAAGTTATTTATATTCCAACTTAACTAATCTTTTGACTTTGTAGACCTCAGATGAAAAGTGTCACAACAAAAACCTTACTTAAAATTCATATTCCTAACAACAATATCAACAGCGCAAGACAAAATTGTTTTTATTTTTGGACCGTATAGTGAAGGAAAAGCAGCGAACAAATGCCAATGCAGCATATAGAGGAACTCCCTCCAAACTCTTTAAAAAGCAGAAGTTGTTTGAAAGAATGTCGAGAGTGTGCAGAGTTTTCTTAAGCAGCAATTCTAAACCTTTTTTGAATTTAAGCCTCCACAACAATTTAAGGCCCCATGATTTTTCCAGTTGTACATGATTTAGTATAAAAATGAGGCTTACTCATATATCCAGGTTTTCCGAAAATTTTGGAATTCTGCTATATATATATATATATATATACACATTTATTTATTTGTTTGTTTGTGATGCCCTCTACAGCAGGCCTCAGACCCCTGTTTTTTTTTTTCCCCGGTTTTGGTCACAACATTTCCATACTTAATTTGAGTTATTTAATCATGTGATGGTTTATTATATTATATTGTTTATTATATTATATTATATTATATTATATTAATTTGACTTGTTACTCTGAATTGTGGAAGAATTCTGCTTGGCAAGATAAAGACAGTAACATAAGAAACAAAATTGAGTGTCCAGGAAGACACAACATAAAATGTCTATTGATATAAATCTAAATTTGACCTCTGTTGGATAAAACGTCATGACTTCTATAACGACTTCTATATTATTATGTAAACTTAATAAAGTAAGTTCATGAAGTCCCTTGACTAAGAGAATCACATACTAGAATCTCTTTGTCTAGTGTCCTGTTTATCTAGTGAGTAGCTCAACATCAGTTAAAGGGGTCATATGATGCGATTTCAAGTAACACGAAACGCAAATAGCCTACTCCAGCACCAGTACCTGGTTGACCTCCCAGGTGGCAGTATTGCGCCTTAACGCTGACACCTGTCAATCAAGACGCACTGCGCGGCCGCGCTACTCTGAGAAGAACCATGTTCAATATTCTACACAGTAAACTTTGTAGACCTCAGATGAAAAGTGTCACAACAAAAACCTTACTTAAAATTCATATTCCTAACAACAATATCAACAGCGCAAGACAAAAGGACACAAGAAGAGGGGAGTTACCATGAGATGCAGATCTGATCAACTGATGCTCAGAGAATCAATATTATTCCCCGAGTCAGTCAGACAAATGCGGTCAAACTGTGTCTTAGATGTCCAGCGGGCAGAGCGAGGGAGAAACAGAGTGCCCTTGATACTCTCTCGCTAGTTTCCAATCACACCGATACTCTTGTGTGCCACTTAAAATTCAACTATTCACTCCCTCCGGCACAAGGCGCTGCAGATGGCAATGCCTTTATGCAGACAGAATCTGGATTTTTAATACATTTCTCTATGAAATATATATGGCAGAAGTAACTTTAAAATGACTTTCCAGAAAATGGTTTACCATCAAATAAATAAAGTAGTGAAAAAAAAATGAAACCGGCTCATCCCTGTGGTACTTCCTTCAGATGGCTCCGCTGTAATTCTTAGCAGTGTGTAATGGGACTGGTCAGGGAAAACACTGTCAGGCTCTTCTGAGAGTAACTGTGAATTTAGGCTAGGGGCACGGGGGATTGCTGGTGCCAAGGACAATGATTAATTTACCACTTCATTAGACTAGTGCTCAAGTATTCATGGCGAACACAGACACTGAGGGTTTCAGGGAGGATTAGAGAGCTAACTGAACGTCAGAGGAAGAAGGACCAAGTGTTTTGGAGGGGTTGTAGAAAGAGAAAGAACGCAAAAATGCAAAGCAAAGGAAACTTTTCTGCTCTACCTGTAATTCTGTAATTTCCTTCCTCCTGCATCAAGCCCCTGTGCGACATTTCTATTTATAGAGGCTTTTATCGTTGCCATGACGACAAATTAGCCCAAGTTTCTTTTAGATGATGGATACTGCCTATGGCTGAAACTTACCTAAGAGGATCCTCTTATTGCAAACCTTCCAGCTCGCACAAACAACACTCATTACAGATCAAAATCCATATTGTGACTTATTTTATAATACATTTCTCAAGAAATAATGTGCAATTAAGGCTGGAATACACTACATGACTTTGTTGCCACAACTTGCCGTTGCAGTTGACCAGTTTCACAGAAAATCCATGTATAACAAGCAGACTCTGATTTTTTAGCTTCATGAAATCAAACAATATGAATGAATCAATGTTTGCCGGCATTTACTTATACACTAAAAGGCTCAATGCACAGATCCGATCTTTTGACATATCTGATTTTTGTCTCACCTACTTACATTCACTTAAAGGGTTAGTTCACCCAAAAATTAAAATTAGCTCATAAATTACTCACCCTCAAATCATCCTAGGTGTATATGACTTTCTTCTTTCAGACGAATCCAGTCGGAGTTATGTTAAAAATTGTCTTTGATCTTTCAAGCTGTTTCATGGCACTCAGCGGGTGTTGCATGCATCAGTACAAAAGCAGTTAAATAAAATGCGCCCATCCATAAAAAAAAAAAAGTGTCTCACACGGTTCCGAGGGGGGAACAAAGGCCTTCTGTAGCGAATCGATGCGTTTTTGTAAGAAAAATATCCATATTCAAAACGTAATAATCACTTTAATCTAGCTTGCGCTCACTGTTGTACACTGGAAGCAGTTCCGGGCGGATCCCCCAGTAAAAATTGTGTTCGGGGGTAAAATACATGTTTTTTTGCGAGGTTCCCCTGGTAAAATTCGCATTGCAGGGGCTAAATATCACGTTATTGGGGTCGCTTCAACCCGCGGACATGAAAACCACGGACTTAGCAACACTGGTTATCAGGGAGTAAGACATCTCAGAAAGGCCAGTCATGACAATTAGAATCAATCAAGCATTCTAGAGAGACGTGTAATAAATCTATATAAAGTTTTCACCTAAATAAAAGGAAAATACATAATACGACAAAATAAGATGAAAAAACAAGAAAAGTTATCATTGTGGGTAAATGTCGCCGTCATATCAGATGTCCAGATATGTCCAGATATCAGATGGGTATCTGATTTAGACATTTAGAGATTTTTATGTGTGCAAATTTGAGTTGGTGTTTTTTTTTTTTTGTGCTATAGTGTAACAGCAGCCTTTGATATTTTGGGCCGATTTTAGAACAGATACTCTTTTCATGTCATGTGTCCCCTAGCAACGAGGTGTAAGTTTATGTTCAAAACAACCTGCAAATCTGTAGTATGTAATTCTTAGTCATTTAGAGTATGAGCCCAGTTTTGTACCCATTTACAATATTGGTGTATGACGCCTATTGTTTTACAATCTGTTAAGATGTTTTAAGTCGTGTAGTGTATTCCAGCCTTTAGCTCAATATATTATCTAGGAAGGCCCTCTAGAGTGCAGAAGAACCGTAAGAAAGCAGCTCTGCTTTTCTCTCGCCAAAGAGAAGCACTGAAAGAAATCGCCATGACAGGATCGGCCGCTCAGACACAGAACCCCCGTAGAGCACCGGGGAGAGAGTCCATCACCCTGAGCACTTCTTCAATACCGACCCACTGAGCCCAGAAGTGCGAGAAAGAAGAACCCGTTGAGAGAAGCTGCAAAGTTTAAGCCTGTATTGTGTGAAATGCCCCAAAAACTCGGCCTTGCTAAATTACGACGGCCGGCCATTTTGTGCCACTGTCCACACGGAGTCTGGGTGGTACTGCGAAATGAACAAAGAGGTTGGGAAGTTCGTAGCGGAATGGAAGACAAACATGTTAAATCAAGGATTGGGGTGGACTTTTCATGTCATGTGTCCCCTAGCAACGAGGTGTAAGTTTATGTTCAAAACAACCTGCAAATCTGTAGTATGTAATTCTTAGTCATTTAGAGTATGAGCCCAGTTTTGTACCCATTTACAATATTGGTGTATGACGCCTATTGTTTTACAATCTGTTAAGATGTTTTAAGTCGTGTAGTGTATTCCAGCCTTTAGCTCAATATATTATCTAGGAAGGCCCTCTAGAGTGCAGAAGAACCGTAAGAAAGCAGCTCTGCTTTTCTCTCGCCAAAGAGAAGCACTGAAAGAAATCGCCATGACAGGATCGGCCGCTCAGACACAGAACCCCCGTAGAGCACCGGGGAGAGAGTCCATCACCCTGAGCACTTCTTCAATACCGACCCACTGAGCCCAGAAGTGCGAGAAAGAAGAACCCGTTGAGAGAAGCTGCAAAGTTTAAGCCTGTATTGTGTGAAATGCCCCAAAAACTCGGCCTTGCTAAATTACGACGGACGGCCATTTTGTGCCACTGTCCACACGGAGTCTGGGTGGTACTGCGAAATGAACAAAGAGCTTGGGAAGTTCGTAGCAGAATGGAAGACAAACATGTTAAATCAAGGATTGGGGTGGAAGAATTTGTTTATGATTAACCACAATGCATCTGTGCAGCGCTTTGATGACAGTGAAAGCTTTTAGAACCCTGTTTGGATGAGATATTTGCCTTTGTATGTGTAAAGGCTGAGATAGAGATGTAAAAAGCTAATTTCACCTGGCTTTTACTGGATTTCAAGTGCTTTGGAGAGCAGATAAATTATTTTTGTTTAGTATTTTCATCTCTGAGTGGAAGCTAAGAATAAGCAAATACAGAAATGCTACAGTGACACCTGCTGGTGTGTCTCTGTATTTTCAAAAATGTTTGTTTTAATGTTAAAATGTCCATCTTTAAACATACAAGTCTCACCTCTGACAGGAACGTCGTCTCTGAGCTCTGTGCAGTGGGAGGCCATCAGTCCAATCACTCGCATCACTTTGCTCCTTCTAAAACACAAATTTGAACAATTACATGGCTCTCATGCAGCTGTTCGTTTTATTAACGCTATTCTGTTTTGTTCAAATCTGACATTATTTAAAGATAATGACATTTCAAACTTCTGATAACAATGACAAACTTCTTATAAAAAAAAAATTTGAAAAACATACCGAAACCAAACTTTTAAACAGTATTGTATATAATTATACCACCACTGCAACACACACCCTGTGGTAAATTCACTGTAACACACAACCTCCTGTGGCATTCTGCTTTATTTTACTATTTTTTGCAATACTGTCTAACCACACCACATCTCAGTCTTAAATGAGCAGTGTTTAATGCTGGTTTTCAGTGTCATTTAAAACAAAAATTTTTCTGTCTGTTGCTTGGTGACTGTAGTGCGGAGATAGAGGCTGTAAGCCTGTGAGGGGCCAGTGAGACACATGCCTATCATTCCTTCCACTCAGAGCCAAAGGGACTGAGAGGAGAGAGACAGGCACTGCATTTCTCTGAGCAGACATTCCAAGACCGGCGCCATTTGTGTCATCCGAGAATACTACACTATATTTCTGATCCAGTAAAAGTGTGAAGCGATTTTTTACTATAATGGTACATTATACAATTGGACAGCTAAACAAAAAAAGGTTACACTTTACTTGAAGGGGTGTGCATAAGACTGACATGACACCTTCATAATCATGACATGACACCTACATAAACATGACATGACACATGTCATGAAGTCAGTCTTATGCACACCCCTTCAAGTAAAGTGTTACCCAAAAAAAAAACAAAAAAACAAAAATCACTATCAAACAATAAAATAATTATACAGAAGAATTGTAACACTTACATATCCCAGTTCGGAGCATGTCGCATCTGTTGAACCAGCACAGGGAACTATGTTAAAAAAAATTTCACATTGTAAGATTTTCAATATATATTCATATTTCATTAAATCAGCCTCTTTTTGGACTCTTAACAACACGATTTCATATATGTCACAGGTCAGGACAATCCCTAGTAAAGAGCTGGGTGAGTGCTTGTGTGCCGTTATTCAATCAGTGTTGTCATCACATCAAGAAATTATTTTCTGACTCCAAAATAATTGGTCACATGGCATTTACGGCTCAGGTGCCTGGCTCCAGAAAAAAAACTATATCTGGAATGCTCAAGCTGAGCAACTGCCACAGAGATAAATGGAAACGCTACTAGTGGTGAGACATCTGGTGGCCAGAGGAGGAATGTACTGGTGTACAAACTACTATTGCAAAAAATGGTACTTAAATTATACAATTATATTCAAATTATTCTTCAAATCCTAAAGAGAAATTTGACTTTTCTGAATTAACATTGGCTTAAAGTTTCAGTATAAATACAGAACCTTTAGGTGCCATTGAAATTCCACACGTTCTATATCTATTAAGTCCCACTGATTACAGTTTCCATTCACGAAAGCCAAGGAAGAGGAAGCTCATTTTCAGACAGAGGCGAGGACGGAAGCAGACACTCATTCCTCAGCGGACACACTATTGTTCAACTTCCCTCATTAGATGACCTACTGTACACTTTCAACCGTTCTATAATATTGCAAAAGAAATGTGAGATTTGCACTGCATGGAATGGAATGGTTGCAGATTAAAAAGTCCTCTTAGTCTATTTTTATTACAAAATACAGTTTTATACATGAAGCTTATTTAAAATATACACATGATGAGGATGGGTTTAATGATTTAATGGGATGAAGGGGGAAGAAATCTCTAAGGTTTCATTAAAAATATTTTCATTTGTGTTTCGAAGATGAATTAATGTTTGGAAATTGGAATTCATGTAGAGGTGAAACATCATTACACAGAAGAACATTCAAATGTTACATCATAGCAAAAGATGTAAGCTAAAATAGATGAGAAAAAAATAAGTCTAAGCAAGTAATCAAAACTGCAGTTAATACTGTATATATACAGTATCGTTCCAGTGATTGTATTGTTGCTAGGCTGAATCTACTGGTAAGATAATTATAATTCAATTCAAATCGTTATTGTAAGTCTTTATATTTATTATATATTCAGTAATTAGCAGCACCATTAGTCAGCTGATCATTGTCACAACGTAAACCCCTTCAGTGTGACACAAGTCAAACCAAAAATTATTCAGACACCAGATATAATTTTTGATATATATTTTTTTACACTAGTGGGTGCAGGACACTATAGTTCATTTACGTAAGTGAGGAGAGCAAAATAAAGTAAACTGTGACATATTATACCTAACAAATCTTCATACCTAAATTGACCTAAATTGGTATTGTCTAATTGTGTACTTTTAACAGCTGACAGCTATTCAACCTAATTCATTTGTGAGACAGTCTAACAGAAGGATGGCATTATCAAGATGAATTTGTTCTGACACAGTTTAACTCTGAGTTCTTGTCATATTTTATTGCCATTTTCTAAACTACAGCGAATAAACTGTGATAATGTGAGAAATGCTGAAGGTGTCTGAATAAATTTTGGTTTGACTGCATACATGATACCTGGTCGTCCTGTCATGGTTTTTGTGATAATGACCATATGACTGTACATTAATAGCTTGTGTTTCACATGTGTCTTACCAGCTGGGAGTGTATGAGGCGTGTGGCCGTCTCTCTGTGGTTACAGACAGTGCTAACAAAAACTTGTAAAATACATTTTAATGGGCATAATTAAGTGTGAAAATAACCGAAGGATATACAGTCAAACCAAAAATTATTCAGAGACCAGATATCATTTCTTATATATTTTTTTACTAGTGGGTGCATGCAGGACACTATAGTTTACGTAAGTGAGGATAGCAAAATAAAGTAAACTGTGACATATTATACCTAACAAATCTTCATACCTAAATTGACCTAAATTGGTATTATCTAATTGTGTACTTTTAACAGCTGACAGCTATTCAACCTAATTCATTTGTGAGACAGTCTAACAGAAGGATGGCATTATCAAGATGAATTTGTTCTGACACAGTTTAACTCTGAGTTCTTGTCATATTTTATTACCATTTTCTAAACTATAGCGAATAAACTGTGATAATGTGAGAAATGCTGAAGGTGTCTGAATAAATTTTGGTTTGACTGCATACATGATACCTGGTCGTCCTGTCATGGTTTTTGTGATAATGACCATATGACTGTACATTAATAGCTTGTGTTTCACATGTGTCTTACCAGCTGGGAGTGTATGAGGCGTGTGGCCGTCTCTCTGTGGTTACAGACAGTGCAGAGGTAACAGAGCAGGTTGAGTTTAGTGCGTGGTGCTGTGGCATTGGCTGATCCAGCCCGGTCTACTGACTCCAGAACAGCACACACCTGTTGCAGGAACTGAGACCAGTCCTCCGAGTTCAGACAGGACAACCGTTCAGCTAAGAGAGAGACAAAGAGAGTAACATTTGTTCTTTTTTTTTTTTAACCCAACCAAATGTAAAGCAAGCATAAATGACAATTTTCCCAAATCCTTTAAATTTCTATGCAAAAACATACTATATTGCCTTTTGAACTAAATCTAAAATGCATTTGTTAAGCATCATATTTAGTACATCAGGCTTTTATGGCTAATATAGTATGATGCAGAAAAATCTGGAAGGAAAGGAGGGAAAAACACCTCAATTATATTAAGAGGCCAAAATATGCAATTTGGTCTAGTTACTAAAATTTATATGGTCAAAAATTAAGGTGAAATTCTGATTGCAATGAAAATGAATGAGATCTTCACAACAGTATAGCAGACTTACTTAGATAAAATGCATATAAATATATGTTAGCACTCTTTACCATGATATACCCATGTCTTAGTAAGATGATATTTAAAAGCTTTGTTTTATGATCAAAGCAAGGTTTTGATCATGTTGATAATTTAGACGCTTTAGAAATATGATACAGTAGGCTTTATAGCTTTGTATGAGAAACAGACCTAAATTTAAGTTTTAAATCCAAAAAATAATGCTCCTTCTGGGATAATAATCCAGTCACAACGGTTAATGAGTCAGTAAGCTTATCTTACAAACCAGTACGATTCATGAAAAAAATAATTTTCATTCTAGGTGGTCAAAAAACACTAGATCTTCCAATTTACCTGAGTGTGCTGATACGCAAAGCGTTTTGGGGTCAAAACGAACTGGAGAAGTCTTTAAAATCTAAAAACAGAGCAGCAGACTAACATCAGTGTTGGTTAGCACATTGTCATGTTTACTCTAGAATATGGACATGAAGTTTAGACAATAAGTCCCTCAGACATGGCAATGTGGCAATGTGTTTGCATCCTGAAGGTCTCTTTACCTTTGGGTTATCCATGATGGGAGTCACTGTAAGGTCACTGTCTGTGTATAAAAGGGATTTAATGCTGGCATTCATGTCACTCTGCTCCTCCACCATAACACTGGATTCCTATGGAGCATACAAACAAAATACTCCTTTCATCCATTTAACACTGGTGTCATAACTTCAGCAAAATCTGTACCACTGTGAGCAATCATTTCAGAGCAAGTTTATCCAGTCCTGATCCTGGAGGGACACCTTCATGCAGAAATTAGCTCCAGCCTGCTCCAGTACATCTGCCTGGTCTACTGGACTTCCTAGTAATCCTCAAAACCTTGAGATTAAATGGATCAGGTGCATTTAATTATGGTTAAAGCTATTATTTGTGTATACAGTATAACACATCCAAGGGCATTTATATCCATATTGGAATTATTAATTTGAATGGTCTTATTTAAAAGCGCTAAACTAAACAAAATCTGTTGCGTTAAACATGAAAATAAACTTTTTTTGTAATGTGATAAGTGATAATATACCTACACATCTAATATAACCAAATTACATTTATTTTCATAAATGAAGTGATTCATGTGAAAAAAATGGATCAGGTGCATTTAATTATGGTTAAAGCTATTATTTGTGTATACAGTATAACACATCCAAGGGCATTTATATCCATATTGGAATTATTAATTTGAATGGTCTTATTTAAAAGCGCTAAACTAAACAAAATCTGTTGCGTTAAACATGAAAATAAACTTTTTTTGTAATGTGATAAGTGATAATATACACATCTAATATAACCAAATTACATTTATTTTCATAAATGAAGTGATTAATGTGAAAAATGCCTGTTGAGATGTTTAACATAAAAACAAACATCTTATATAACCAAATTACATTTGTTTTCACATTACAAATGTCTGTGATGACATTGCAGGATGTTCCAAATGAACGCATTTTGTCAGGTGAAGTAAACTTCAACAGATATCTCATGCTCAGAGAATATAGAGCAGTGAACACTGTGTAGGGACCCTGTCAGTGAGGTAGTGGCAAATTGTAATGTTGAATATGTCCAGTAGATGGTGCTGTGGTTTAACAAAAGACATTTGCAACCACATCCACTAGAAAGCCTGATGATTAACTGTTGAAAAAGCATAAAGAATTAATGGCCCAGAGCTTTCTACTATGACATTTTGTTGGTTTTGATTGGGCTTTTTGGACACGCTTGTAGTTTGCAGTATTGCATTATCGCAGTCAGTCATGTAGAGAGGTCACAAAAACATTTCACAAAAATGAGTTTGTTAGGATTTAAATAAGTATTTGGGCACTTTCTGGTTGTTGATGTGATAAAATATGCCTGCGGTTACTATAGCTATGGGACTATTTTGTTAAAAGTCATTGCAATTGACTTCTAAGTTTGTCTTAGAATAGTAAAGTTCACTTTGAGTAAAGCTAGAATCATTGTTATTCAGATGCCACTTGGTTTGATACTTTGTTATAATGGAATGAAAATTATACCGTTTTAAGTGAGGCTTAAGGGTCCAAATACATTTTTGGGATGACTGTATGTTTTTGTTTTTTGAACTCACTTGAATTTCAGAGCTTTTGTCTTCTGTCTGTCGAGCTGTGTTGCTTGTTCTGGGAGTTGGTCTTGAGCTGCTTGATCAGAGATACAAAAACTACTGAAATACACTGGAATATCCTCATACTAGCATTGAACACCCCTCATGACATATCACATGACCAAAAGTCTACACACACTTAACTGTGTTGTTTCTGGTGATTTTAAAACTTTCATCTAAATGCTTGGAGGTAGTTTTGCAGACAAATGTATATTGCGCCTACATATACATTTCTTTACAAAATTAAAATTGAATTTTATTTAAACATTTTAATGGGTGAGTTGGAACAGGTAGTGGTGGAAAAACAGCCAACAATTGTCCAGCATACAAATAAATACTTATATTTTTAAATAGATAAATAAATGTATTTATCTTTTTTTTTTTTTTTTTTTTTTTTTAGTTTTTTTTTTTTATCACAGCTAGGTTAGTGCCTTAAAGGGTTGCTGCCTAGATAGACAGAAAGGCAGGTTACTAGGTTTTACATTAAATCCACTGTTAAAAGTATGGAAATAAAATAAAAATGTAAAGGTTTGTTTGTCAAGGGCACCTTATATTTGCCATATTTTGTCTTTTTTGAGTCCATATGGTTTGGTGTGTGTTGTTATCGTTAATGAATACTCTTAAAAATCATTTATATTTTACTTTAATATAAATTTAAAATGTTGCCTTGGCAACTAATTGAAGTCTAAAATTGGTAAAACTGAACTGAAAAAGAAATGATGATTAAAGTGACAAGCACATAAATTACTAAAACATAGTAAAATTGAAATGAACTAAAATTAAAACAGAAAATATAAAAAAATTAAGCTAATATATATTTTTTTTTTTTTTTTTTTTTTTTTTTTTTTTTTAAGTCTTTTTATTTGTTTAACATTTTTGGACACTGCATAATTCCCATACTGCAGATTTTACTATTACTATAAAGTGTAGAAATCAATAATTATTATTAAAGAGAGAGAGAGAGAGAGAGAGAAAGAGAGAGAGAGAGCGAGAGAGAGAGAGAGAGTAGGTGTCCAAATGTTTGACTGGCAGTGTACATTAAGGGAAAAAAAAAAACTTTAATTAGTTCTTCTGATTTTACTATATTTGAATCTTCTCAAACATGTCCAAAGAACACATGTCCAAAGAATCCATATCCACATGTATTAAAGTGCTGAAATGAGGTATGTTTTTTTTTTTTGCATTATTTTGGTATAATTGTTGTCTATTTGTTAAAACTGGAAGATTAAAGGCATGCTTTTTTTTTGTTTGTTTGTTTTTTCTTCTAAAATGTAGTTCTACTGTTCTGAATGAAGCCCTTTTTGACAGATTAGGTTTTAACATGATGTACAGTACACAAGTGTTCCAGTTGATTCACAGTTACATAAGCTCACTCTTCTGTCATATATTCCCCTCTGATAATATGCAATGGAGGTATTAACCAGCAGCAATCTAATCCCTGAGTGTACGGATATGTGCGTGTGATTTAATTCTGAACATACATATCACTTGTACAGCAAGGCAAACTGAACATGAGTACACAGGCTCACACATGTGTACGTGCTTGGCGACCACACATGCACAGAGCATAAGCATAAAATCCACAGGCCCTTTGAGGGCACATGAAGTGTAGCAGTGGGGCATGACGTGCTGACTCTCATATCTGCTGCATTACCTAATGTGAAAGACTTGCTGAGGTTTGGGCTGGCAGGGTCAGCAGGTGCTGTCTGGGCTTCCTCGGCCGTCTGAGAAGACACAGGGGCCAAATGCAGGCTGAAAAAAGAAAAAAACACAATCAATTCGAGAAGACACTAGACACAATCATAGTAAACAGCACATCTTGATATAAATATGTGACCCTGGACTACAAAACCAGTCATAAGGGTAATTTTTTTTTAAATTGAGATTTATACACCATCTGAAAGCTGAATAAATACGTTTTCCGTTGATGTATGGTTTATTAGGATAGGACAATATTTGGCCGAGATACAACTATTTGAAAATCTGGAATCTGAGGGTGCAAAAAAATCTAAATAGTGAGAAAATCACCTTTAAAGTTGTCCAAATTAAGTTCTTAGCAATGCATATTACTAATCAAAAATTAAGTTTTGATATATTTACGTTAGGAAATTTACAAAATATCTTCATGGAACATGATCTTTACTTAATATCCTAACGATTTTTGGCATAAAAGAAGAATCGATCATTTTGACCCATACAATGTTTTTTTGGCTATTGCTAAAAATATACCCAAGCGACTTAAGACTGGTTTTGTGGTCCAGGGTCACATATATGGGTCATATTTCACCCTAAAATTAAAAGAAAAGAAAAAAACATTTATTTTGCATACAATTGTAGCAGATATTTATTCTTTCTTTCTTTTTACAAAATAGACATTATGTACAAAATATTCCCAAGATGGCAAAGCTGACTTTTCAGCAGCATTTATTTCTTTAGTCTTCAGTGCCACATGATACGTAAGAAATATTTCTAATATGCTGATTTGCTGCTTAACTGTTTTTTTTTTTTTTTTTGGTTGTTTTTTTTTTTTTTTTTGGATTCTATGATAAATAAAAAGTTCAAAAACAGCATTTACTTATTACTTTTTTTTGTGTAAAAGTAACTCTTTACTGTCACTTATGATCAATTTAATGTGCCCTTATTTAATGTCTCATTTAATGTCTTGTTCTGTACTGAACAGGTACAAGAAAATGATCATAATGATCATAATCCTTCCAAAATGAAAGTCTTCCTCATTCTTTAATTATGCAGACTCCTGGTCAAATATGCAAATCTTCCCACATCGTGACGTAGACATGAGGGGGCGTGTTAGAACGAGCCGTTTTAGGTAGGTGTGGCTGACTCTTAACTTTTATAAAGAATATCTCTTTGGATTTGAGACTTTAGTCTTTGCAACTTTACAGATCTTCTTTATGCACCAAGAGCTTGTAACACCCCAAAGAGAAAGGAAAAAATTAAATCGCATCATATGACCCCTTTAAGATTGCTTGTAGAAAAACAAATACAATAAAACCAAACAAAAATTAAAAACAAATATTTTGATAAATGACAGGACAAAGGAAAATAGCAAAATGGCTAAGTGGTGCATAATAAAGGACTAAAGCATAGAACAGCCTAAAAATGTGGTATCATGAAGTCTGTGGCTTTAATGGGAAGAAAATAGTCTAAGTCAGGAAAAACAAAAGTTTTCACCATATTTTCTTCACAGTTGTGGTTTAAATAAGTGAATTTGCTTCTCCAAAAAAAAAAAAATTTTTTTAAGATTTTGATGATTTTGTCCATCAGGAATTGATTGAATTATTATTGTTTGCTAATTTCTGCAATCTAATGTGAGTGACAGGTTGCTGGAGGGATTGTTGACAAATCCTTGGGCTGGTGCATAAATAAAGTTATTTTGATTAAAGATTATAAAAAAAAAAAAAACAGAAGCAGCCCACTGTTAAACTCTGTTTAGTATGTAATGTGACACTGTACATACACTAGCTCAGGATGAACATATACTACAATGGATCACCTAACAGGTGTGATACTTATACCTTAGCAGGTGTGAGATCCGAGACAACAATGCCAGAGTCGTGGCTGTTCCTGAAACCACGCCTTCTTTCTTTGCGTGCACATTTGGGCGGCACACTGAAAAAAATGCTACTAAATTTTTTGAAGGTAAGTGGGCGCAAACAATTTATTTTAGCTACATTTAATTTAAAAAATATGTTGAAAGTTAGTCAAATAAATTTGTTTATTTAAATGTAGCTAAAATAAATTGATTGCAACCACTTACCTTAAAAAAATGTTGTAAATTCAATTAATCATTTTTTTCAGTGCATTATGCTAATATTTCCACATAGTGACGTAGACATGTGGGGGCGTGTTAGAACGAGCCGTTTTAGGTAGGCGTGGTTGACTCTTAACTTTTATAGAGAATATCTCTTTGGATTTGAGACTTTAGTCTTTGCAACTTTACAGATCTTCTTTATGCACCAAGAGCTTGTAACACTCTAAAGAGAAAGGAAAACTTGAAATCGCATCATATGACCCCTTTAAGACCTTTCATCAGGTCAATGGCAAACTCTCGCACTACTTCATCAGACAGTCATTCATCTTGAGCGATCAGTGCTGCCAGGGAACCACCTAGAAAAAAAAATACTACTATAATACTAATACTACTATAATTTACTAATTTATTTAGACTACTATAATAACCCTGGATCTCACCTGTGCACATCTCCACCACCAGCCACAGATGGTTGCTGGTCTCATACCATTCATAAAAAGACACCACATTGTCGTGCTTAACGTCATGAGCAAGTCTCACCTGTGGAGATAATGTGACATTTATCAAACATAGGAGAAGGCCTTTCCTTCTGCCCTTATACACCACCGATCTACCTCTGCCGATCTCTTCATGCAAAATAAAGTTCTCCATCTATGCAGTGATGGAAAGCATGAGCATTAAAGCCAAAACAAACATCTAAAACACATGGCCGTTTTGAAATGTAGTTTTCAGATGCAAAAACACACCTGAGACTCACGTGAGATTGAGAGCTCGAGCTCACCGGCAGTTTACAGCACAAACGTTAACTACTAACACAACTTCCTGACCATAGGGACACCAGAACGGTTCAATATTACAGACACGGATCGATTAAAACCATATTTTAAAGATTGAAACAATATATTGGGCTTAAATACGGGGTAATTGTCTTTTGCATAAATTTCCTTTCGCGCGGTAGACAACTGACAAACGGACCTACTTATTGGACGGTCCCTCGTTGCTAGGATACATAAGAGGACGCGTTGTTGCGTTTAGGAAACAGGTTCCACTGAGCATGCGCACCCGGAGCACCAGCCATTGGTTGAATACCAAACCCTTCTCCTGTTACATACACCTGCTTCTTTATTTTTAATGTTTGCATTATTGCTAAAGTATTTTATTAATTAGATTAATATTATGTAACCATATATATGAACTCGTTTTGTAGTATGACAGAATATTATGAAAGTTTATTTGATTTTATTCTTTTGCATTTTTAGTATTGTTGTTTTTTTTGTTTTTTTTCTGTCACTGCGTGTATGCAAAACCAATCATATCAATAAACTTAAAGCTAAAATTGAATGTCCACTAAAGAGAATGAATAAAAAGAGGGGACAGTCAACTATGCTGTCTTCAGTTGTGAAAGAGTTGCAAAAGCAACAGTGAGGATGGGGGAGTGGCTCAGAGAGAGAGAGAGAGAGAGAGAGAGAGAGAGA